CTCGAGTTCAGACTGCGACTTGTTGCTCGATGATGTTTTACTGCCGGAACTATCGAGCGTAAAAGTTTCGGCAACATTTAGTTTTTTGCTGAGTCGGTTTTTTTTGGTTGGAAAGTCGCATGGGCTTCGGCATTTACGGGCTTGTGTCCCATATTCGCGGTGGTACCAGCAGGTCGGATTTTGTTGTACGTTGGTGGTGCGGTGCGGAGTGCTTGCACGTTTAGGGTTGGTTTGCGAACGCTCACGTTGTCGACTACGGTCCTGCAGCATGAGTCGGTTTAACTTGCTGTTGATGCTTTCTAGGATCGTGTCCTGTTTTTCGATCCGTTTTTGGAGCACATCCACTTTGTTGATAGGCGTTTCAATGGCATTGATTGTTGGTCCTCTTGGTGCTGTCGAGGCTGAGTCGCGGCTTAGTGCGTCGAGTACTGCATCGGCGGTGATGGCTAGCTGATGTAACGGCGTGCCTGGCTGAGCTTGGAGCATGCCGGCGATAACGGCACGTGCGGATTCTGGTAACTGTTTAAGCCAGTATTGCTGTATAACAGACTCATCCTTTGTTGCGTTCGTCCGTTGCATTTGGCTCAGTAAATGGCTAGGCTTACCGTCGCCTAGCTGTATCCCCGTGAGTTTGTCGAGCCGGGCCATCGCTGAGTCGCTAAACTTGTTTATTATGGCATTTTTGAGTGTGGTGTACGGTGCGGTTGTTGGTGGGTTGCGCACCAATTCGAACACCTGGTCAAGGATGTAGTCGTCGGCGTGGGCAATAACGGCTGTGTACTTGTCTTTTTCCTTGCGTACCCCAAAGCCGTGTAACTCGAACCATGCGTCTACTTTTATGAACCACGATTCAATGTTATATTTTGAGTTTAGCTTCGGGAACGGTAATTTACCGAATACCGCGTTGATTTGAGGTCTGTCGCTGTCTGCGCCTGCGTTAATGCAGGCGCCGCTGCCGCCGCCGGCTGCGTTGCCGTCGTCGTTTACGACTTCCTCGACGCTTTTATCGTTTTCGTCGGCGCTCATCTTACTGGTTGAATTATATGTACGTATGTGTCGCCGTTGTCCGCTACTTTTGATCGCACCACTATAACGGTTAGCGGTTGTTTGCTGGCGTGGTGCCTACTCGTAACTGGCACTGTACCAAGAATTTTGGAGGTGATCTGAATGTCACGACTATCTCCAAAATTTGTACCACACCACCACACCAGAATGTGGCTTTAAGTTTTGGACGGATGGTTCTTCCAACGTTGCGCGGAGGTACCCTTTTGGCTGCCCGCTTCGATGCTGGACTCACTATCTCCTTTATTTTTCGGGGTCACCAGTGTGGAAGATAATAAAACCCAGTTTATTACTCTAAAATTTACTT